GCTTGAGGGCAAGGCCCCCGGTGGCCAGTTTTGGACAGCAGTAGCACAGCCTTACCCCAAGGAGCTGTGCAAGATTCTGGCCAAGTCTCTAGTAGATACGTCAAATAATCGTAGGCTCTCTCGGTTGTGGGACATTTGTAAATGCTAGGCGGTATTTCCAGTACACTAATGAATCTGGACGTGAATATGGCCCAGAGTTTTTTACTTGTTCGATGCTGCTGCGTTCTGTTGTCACTGTTGCCGATGCCTCGCCCCGGCGCCCTCTCAAGCTTGTGCTGGAGAAAAATAGAAGGCCTTGGAGATAGTTTATCGGGTTGGCCTGTCAATTCGGTGATCCGCAACCGTTGGCTCTAATCAGCCGCGCGAGCCGCCCGACCCTCCCTCCCTTCTCTGCTCTTCCGCCTTTCAATCCCACACGAATTCAGAATTTAACAGGCCCAGAGTTTTTTACTTGTTCGATGCTGCTGCGTTCTGTTGTCACTGTTGCCGATGCCTCGCCCCAGCGTCCTCTCAAGCTTGTGCTGGAGAAAAATAGAAGGCTTGTTTTTTCATGAAAAAATGCGGTTGCGACATCCACTCGTTTTTCAAAACCAAAAAACCAGTACTCGTGAAGATCGCTTTCGAATTCTTTACGAAACCAAAGGTTTTGGACAAACTTCGACATGCGAGCGCGGCGGGCGCACGCATGTGGTCTGCATGGTATTCTTTGATCGGGATTTTGCCTGGATGGTGGTGCTGCTGCGGCTGCCCCTCCCCCTCCTTCCCTTCCACCCTTTTATGAAGCTCCCTCTTTCCCTGCTCCTGACGGGTCTGCTGCCGCCGTCTTTGCCGTCTGAATCTTTAGCTTTCGTCAGGGGTCGTGAGGGTCCTTGAGGGTGTCTTAGCTGCACACGGGGCCGAAGAAGGGGGTAGCGCACGGGGAGCGTTTTCTGTGGAGGGAACCGTACAGATGACGGTGCATACGGGGCCGGAGTGTACGTTTGCCCACCGCGGCGCGACACCGCCGCTGGTCTCTAGCAGGGCCGGAGAACTTGTCGTCACACAGCGTCTCAGGACGGGGCCGGAGTGTGCGCCCGTCCACCGCCCAGGGCCGGAATGTACGCCTTTCCGTTGTTGTTGTTGTTGTTGAATATTATTACTTCTAAAGAATAATTATTGTTGGGCCCCCTGGTGCACGCCCCCCTCGCCGCGCCTAGGCCGCAGCCACATCTTCATCATTTTCGTGAGGAAGTCTCAGGCAAAACGGGGGAGTCCGGATCCGGTTGTTTTGTTGACGCCCGTTTTCCCTGTCAAAAAACAATATGAAATGACATGTCTTGTTCTAACATACCCAAACTTCAAGAATCCTTTGCAAAAAATGACACGAAGTGCACACTCGCGCGCGCAAGACGAAATCCTTCCAAAACCTTAGTTTTCGTAGCGATTTTAACATAAAAACATAAAAAAAAAACCAATGGTTTTTCAAACAAAAATTGTCAACAATTCATCCCGCGCGCTCTTGCGGATTCGTAGGAAACCCAACACTTTTTAAACATTTCTGTCAAACGGGCTTTTGCGAGCAACTTTTTCGAACTTCTGCAACAACGGTTGCGCACCTGCCAGGGCCATCATCCCTGTCAAATAATACCATGCGGGACACATTCGTTTTTTCTTCGCGCGCGCGCGCCGTCGTCGTCGGCCGCGGGGCCCTGAATAGTAGCCACGGTCGTCCGCATGCCACGAAGTGAAGTGTCCGAACGTCATAGGGCGGGAAGCTGGGTGTGGGTGGTGGCGAAGAGTCGTTTGGAAATTTGGTAGAGCTTGAACCGGCCCCCCCACAAAGTGGGGGTATTGCCCGCCTCCTATGAAAACCCTGGCACTGGTGAGAAAGGAGTGTCCCCACGTGCTAGTAATTGTTGTTGTTGTTGTTGATATTATTGTTGTTGTTGATGTTGTTGTTGTTGTTGTTGCTGTTGTTGTTGTTGTTGTTGTTGTTGTTGTTGTTGTTGTTGTCAATTGTCGCTGCTTCGACGTCCCCACGGTTGGCCACATTCTCCGGTGCAGCGAGGACATGGTGCACGATGATTTTGTGGTTGCTTTCGACGCTTCGCTTCGGCATGGTGCGGAAGACGCCCTCCACGGAACACTTTTAGACGAGGGATGGTTTCAGGCCTTTCTCGCTGTGGACGCTGGTGGACTCGGGCTCCGGGAGGCGTTCGACTCGAGTGCGCGCTGCCCGCGCTCATTGCCAGCAGGGTCGCCTCGCGGCCGCTCGTCGCAGCCATGTGTGTTCACGTGGAGGAAGAGGCGTTGGGATCTGCTGCCCTGTGTATGCGAGAGTACGACAGCCGCACGCACGACGCGATGCAGAGGTGGCGTGGCACCCTCCCTGCCAGTGTCCACGATGCCGTTCGCACCCACTTCGGGGAAACCGCCGCGTTGGCCGAGCGTCGCTGGCGGAGCTGGTGCGCCGGTGAGGTGGAGGACGGGCGCGCTGCCAGTCACAGGCCTGGGGCGGCAGCTGTGGCAGAGGCGGGCATGGAGGACCCCCAGCACCCAGCCGCCCCCAGGGGCCGCGGCACACTGCGCCTCCAGCGTGACTTCACCAAGGTGGCGGAGCAGCACGGTGACCACTGGACGACTCCTTCCCCGAGCGCGGGCGAGTGGGAACACCGACGCAGCGCACCGCTTCCAGGAACTCTGCCACCCGAGCCAATACCACGATTAGTTGTAGGCCATATCCCCGCACAAGAGCAGGATCATAATGCAGTCCGTAACGACTTTTATGCGTTCGCCAAAGCATTAAACGGCAGCGCAGAGTTCGAGCCGCTTGGCCGCGTGAGCTCACGCCCACTGCTCCGCCCTGCGGACGTTTTGACTGGCGTACGGTCGGTATCAGGGGGCCGTCGTGGGGCCTTTGGGGGCTGTCTTGGGTCCCGCGGGAGGCCATTTTGGGCCGTCTTGCCGCTGTTTTGGATGCTTCTTGGGCTATCGGGAAGTCTTCTAGGGCAGTGCAGTCTTGAGCTGACGGCAGCCCGAAAAAGGCGAGACTGCGAAATCATGCACGAACCCCACGGGGATCGATGATCTTGGCTTCTTCTTGCCCTGTTGGAGGTCCGCTGGTGCCCATCTTCTCATCTTGGGCCCTTTTGGAGGCATAGTGGGCCGTGTTGAACCAATGGTCGGCCGCCATGTGATTTCTTGTGTAAGTTCCCAAGCTTGTTGGGCCATGTTGGTGTCCTTGGATGCCTGCGCGGGCCATCTTGTAAGCTCGGGACGCATATCCACCGCTTTAAACAATGAGGGGTCGTGGCTTGGGACGCGCGGGGCGCATGGGAGCAGCGCCTGGGAATACGGGAAGGGCACGATCCTAGAGCTGGCGCGCGTGTGATGAGGGGTCTTGGAGATCGCAGCCATGCGGGATGAGCACAATCGCCGAGCGGACGAGCATGGAATGATGGTTCAGTCATTAGCTGCCGCGCGGGAAGTGCACCATCCTCGAGCGGGCACGCGTGGAAGAGGGGTTCAGGCATTAGCTGCCGTGCGGGAAGGTCGCCATCCTCGAGCGGGCACGCGTGGAGTGTGGGTTTAGGCACTAGGTGCCATGCTGGAAGTGCGCCATCTTCGAGCGTGCACGAATGAAGTGGCGCTCTTCCAGTCCTTCCACGCCTCAACGTGCCAGGGGGCACGGTGGCGGATTCAATGCAAGAGCAGCAACAACGACAACAACAAGCCGCACCCCGGAACCCGACTTCAGCCACGCGCCCACGGACAGGGAATGACCGTTCGGCCCCTCCTTTCTGATGAGTGTTTTTCCACCATCGTCGTCGTCGTCGCCGCCGCCGCCGTCGCCGTCGCCGTCGCCGCCGTCCCACACCGGCGGCTTTTCCTCGATCGGGGCCTCTGGGGCCCCGTTGTCGGGTTGGGGAAGCCCCACGGAGAGGGTCGGGCCATCGCGGGGTCCGCGTAAGGGAAAAATCTCATCGCAGGGTGTCTGGGGTCGTCGTTGTCGTGATCGTCTTCACCGCCGCCGTCGCCGTTTCTGCTATCGTCGTCGCTGCCGCCGCCGCCGCCGTCACCGTCGCCGTCGCCGCCGCCGTTGTCGTCGCCGCCTCCGTCGAGGTTGACGCTGGGGCCGTTCCTTTCAGAGGTCTTGGACAGACTCCCTCGGAAGCCTCAGGAGTTGTCGTTGCCCCGGCTGTGTGTTCTAGCGGCCACGTTCCGCCGAGAGCCCCCCGACGTGCACGACCCCTTGGTTCGTCTCGGCCAGCAGTGCCTGGCCCGACGGTGGCGCCGAAGCGACCAAACCCCCAGCGTCCTTAGCAGAGCAGGCCAGCCCCTCTCTCTCGCTTTTGCAGGGGCGGAGGCGGGGGCTCTCGAGTTGTGCTCTTGCTGGTCCAGCCGCGGGGCCCGCGGGGGCACAGCCGCACGACACGCAGGCACGTACAGTGAGCGGTGATTGCAGCGGCGGGCCCCGTCTCCACGCCAGATCGATGCGCTCCGTCGCCACATCGGGCGGCAGGGGCTTCGTGTTTCGGGGGGCGTTCTCTCCCCGATCCATGCTGGCACGTGCCCGGACAGCCTACGGCACGACATCCACGCGAGTGCTGGGTCGAGGGCACCATAGCCCCGTGCACTGAGACAGTCATCGGGGCACGTCAGCCGTCCGCCTCACAGATCGTGGCCGGGCTGGGTTCCCAAAACAGTGCGGGGATTCCACCTTCGTTACCCAAGGATTTGGTGGGTTTGCCAAGGGTTGGCTTGGCTGGCGGCCGTCGTCGCCTCGTGGGCGACCCGTGCGCTGGGTGGATTTGCGGAGTTTTCGCCTAGTGGGCGGCCGTGAGCTAGGTTCCCTCGCGGTTTCGGATAGCATTGCAGACCTGTGCCTCCCTTCCAGTATGGAGTCCCTACTCCCCCCAGCAGGGGAAGCTTGACAGGAAAACCATCTAACTCCTCCCCCTCTCTCTCACAATGCTTTCTCTTGAGACCGTGCCGCGCCCCGCGCGCGACCAACCCCCCAGGAGCCCTGGCCACACGGACGCTGACTCCGTGGCCAACTTGTGCAGCAAGGGCGAGGCGCGCCGGTCCCGCTCGCCCGCCCGTGTCTGGGCGCACGTAGCGGGGTTCAGTGCAAACAGGGCTCAGCCAGACTGTCGGATCCTGCAGGGTCCTGCGGAGCTACAGTTTGGCCGAGCCAGGTTTGGGAGCTGCTCGCGGTCCAGGAGGTCGTTTTGCACAGTGGCCGGGCATTGATTGGGATTCCCCCCAAAACACTGCAGCGTCTGTTTTGTTTTGTTTTGTTTTGTTTTGTTTCTTTTGAATTGGCTGAGCTGTGTTTGCGCGGGAGCCTGGTTCATCCACGCCCGATCGTGCGGCTTGCCGCTCGCGCGCGCAGCGCAAGCGCACTGGCAAGCGGGCGAGCAAGCTCGTACTCGAAGGGCGCTCGCGCCCCAGACGCCTCTTGGCCGCCGCGAGGAGGAACTTGCAGCGCGCGCCGTTGCTCGAACACCTCTTCCTCCGAGGACGCGACGACGCATGTCTCTGAGGGCTCGCCCCGCGCGCGCGTGCGCGAGGGCTGCGCTGGGGCGGCCCCGCAGGCCTGGGAGGGGGTGGGAGGAGCGAAAGGGAGGGTGGCGCGAGGCAGGGAGGGAGGGGCGAGGGGTGATGCCGGCCGAGAGGACTGGCGGGGAAGCCCATGCCGGGCGCCCGCCCAGCGCTGACCCCCATCATTGTCGCCGCCATCGTCCTTGCCATCGTCGTCGTGCGTCGTGCCTCTTGCCCCGCCCCGCCCGCGCCGGGACCGCGCCTCTCGCGCTGACTCGGGGGCCCGATTGCGGGCTCTCGGGGGGGGGTCCCTGGCCCAGTGCCCCTGGCCATGGCGTCTCGTCGCATGTTCGGGTAGGGAGCGACTACAGAATGGGTTTTCTCTTCGAATCTACAATAGCGGCGTATAATGTTCGTAGATGTGCGAAAATTCTACGCATGTTTCATGACTTCAACGAAAATCAGATTTTGGGTATATCAATTCTGTAGTCGATCCCCGACTCGAGACAGTCTTGTGTCACCGTCGTCGTCGTCGTCGTCGTCATCGTCCTCCCCTCTTCAGTGGGCGCTCGTTGCACGAGGGGCGCTCTTCCCGCGACCCCCGCCGCGCTGTCCCGGACCCCCGGGCTCTCCCGTGGGCGCTCCCTCGTCTCTCCAGGGGCCTCCAGGGGGAGGGGGGGTGGCGGAGGGCTGCGAGGGTATGCGTGCTACTGCTGGGGTCACTGGCATCTCGTAGATTTTCGGACGTCTCGTAATGGAGGGCGACAAATCGCGTTGTGTCCGGAAAGCGTTACACATGTCAACTGCGCAGGTCAACGCAGGTCAGCGCAGGTCACGCGGCCAGCGCAGGTCAGCGCAGGTCAGCGCGGGTCGGCGCGCGGCGGTCCTGTGGAACTCCCCTGAGGTTCGTGGAACTCCTTCCCCCTTGGTTTGTGGAACTCCCTCCGCGGGGGGTCCTGTGGAACTCCCCTGGAGCTGGTTGAACTCCTCCCCCTTGGTTTGCGGAGCAGCTACGAGTATCACTGTGCTACTAACATGCTACGGCTACGACGACTCCGAGTATTAGTACAGCTATAACTACCACCATCAGGCTGCTCGTGTTACTGCTACTACTACTACGACTATTACCACTACTACTACTACTATTACTACTACTACTACTACTACTACTACTACTACTACTGCTACTACTACTACGACTACTACTACTACTACTAGTACTACTCCTACACTACTACCACGACGACGACGACGACGACGACGACGACGACGACGACGACGACGACGACGACGACGACGACGACGACTACTACTACTTTCTACTACTACTATTTCTACGATTATCACTACTACTACGACTACGGCTACGACCACGATTACGACTATTGTACTGTAGTAGTAGTAGTAGTAGTAGTAGAACCACTCCTGACACTGCTGCTGCTACTACTACCACTACTACTGTTAGTACTAATGCTGCTACTAGTACTACTACTACTACTACTACTACTACTCTTACTACTACTACTACTACTACTACTACTACTACGACTACTACTACTACTACCACCACCACTACTACTACTACTACTACTACTACTACTACTACTACTACTACTACTACTACTACTACTACTACTACTACTACTACTACTACTACTACTACTACTACTACTACTACTACTACTACTACGACTACTGCTACTACTACTACTACTACTACTACTACTACTACTACTACTAGTATTGCTATTATCATGAATACCAGCGACATTTTCACTACGGCCATTGATGCTAATGGAACTTCCCTGGGGGTTTGTGGAGCCCCTTCCAGGGTTTGTGGACACCCCCGCGCTGGTTTGTGTACCCCCTCCAGCGGTTATGGACCCCCCATTGGGCTTGTGGAATCCTCCCTGGGGTTTGCGCCCCCCACCCCGCCCGAGGTTGTGAAACCTCCCCCTTGGCATGTGGATCACCCCGCGTATTTGTGGAGCTCACCCCGGGGTTGCAATTCCCCCCCGGGCTTGTGGGATCTATCCGAGGTTTTGTCGGCCTCACCCTAGGGTTTGTGGAATCCCCCCGAGTGGATTCCCCCCAGCTTCTGCGCCAGTGGTTCCTCTGCGGGTCCGTGGATTTCCATTGGAGGTTCCCGCCTTAGGGTATTTTCGGGCCGTCTCAGGGCCCTCTTAAGACACGTCGAGACTCTCTTGGGCCCTGCTGGACCGTCTTGCGGTTATTCCGATCGCATATTGAACCATCTTGTGCCGTCTGAAGCCGAAAGGGCGACCTTCTTAAACCATCTTCGGTTCCCGGGGTTTCTTGGGCCCCCCTGGGCCGTCTGAAGGGTCTGGCATCCCGTCTGGGGATTGTCTGGGGTGCCCCTGAGGATTCCGACCACCCCCGCCCCGCGGGCTTGTGGAATCCCCCGCGGCGGTTGTGGACCCCCCCCGGGGCTTGTGGAGCCCCCCTCGGGGTTTGTGGCCCCCACCCAGGGCCTCCCCCCTCGGCATGTGGTCCTCCCCCGGGCTTGTGGAACTGACCCCGGGGTTTGTGGAACTCCCCCCCCGGGCTTGTGGAATCTCCCCGCGGGTTTGTGGCAACCCTCTGCGCGAGTGGATCCCCGCGGGTCTGTGGAACCCCCTCTGGGGGTTGCCGTCTTGAGGCATTCCAGGCCGTCTTAGGGCCCTTTTCGGCAGCGTCGAGACTCTCAGGGGGGGCTGCTGGACCATCGTCTTGGACCATCTCGCGCCGCCTTGAAAATGAAAGAGTCACCTTCTTAAACCATCTTCAGCTCCCGGGGCCTTCTTTGGGGCCTCTTGAGGTCTCCGACACCGCATCCCCGCCAGCCCTGCAAACTGATTCAAGACTTTGCCCCAAAGTGTATTTCCCAACCATCCTGTGGTGCTGGGTCCTCGTTTTGAAGAGACAGCGCCCCGCGTTCACTCCTCCTCCTCCCGCTGCCCCCTCCCTCCTGCCATCATCATCATCATCACCATCATCATCACCATCATCATCGTCATCATCATCATCGTCATCATCATCATTATCATCATCATTATCATCATCATTCCTCTCCTCTCCTCTCCTCTCCTCTTCTCCTCTCCTCTTCACCCACCCAGTACACTGCTTCGTGGCTCCATAGGGAGCTCCACCGAAGGCCCCAGTGCCCGCGCCCGCATGCGTCACCCACACCCATTTCGGCACACCCCTCACACGTTTCGTGGCTCCATAGGGAGCTCCACCGAAGGCCCCAGTGCCCGCGCCCGCTTGCGTCACCCACACCCATTTCGGCACACCCCTCACACGTTTCGTGGCTCCATAGGGAGCTCCACCGAAGGCCCCAGTACCCGCGCCCGCATGCGTCACCCACACCCATTTCGGCACACCCCTCACACGTTTCGTGGCTCCATAGGGAGCTCCACCGAAGGCCCCAGTGCCCGCGCCCGCATGCGTCACCCACACCCATTTCGGCACACCCCTCACACGTTTCGTGGCTCCATAGGGAGCTCCACCGAAGGCCCCAGTGCCCGCGCCCGCATGCGTCACCCACACCCATTTCGGCACACCCCTCACACGTTTCGTGGCTCCATAGGGAGCTCCACCGAAGGCCCCAGTGCCCGCGCCCGCATGCGTCACCCACACCCATTTCGGCACACCCCTCACACGTTTCGTGGCTCCATAGGGAGCTCCACCGAAGGCCCCAGTGCCCGCGCCCGCATGCGTCACCCACACCCATTTCGGCACACCCCTCACACGTTTCGTGGCTCCATAGGGAGCTCCACCGAAGGCCCCAGTGCCCGCGCCCGCATGCGTCACCCACACCCATTTCGGCACACCCCTCACACGTTTCGTGGCTCCATAGGGAGCTCCACCGAAGGCCCCAGTGCCCGCGCCCGCATGCGTCACCCACACCCATTTCGGCACACCCCTCACACGTTTCGTGGCTCCATAGGGAGCTCCACCGAAGGCCCCAGTGCCCGCGCCCGCATGCGTCACCCACACCCATTTCGGCACACCCCTCACACGTTTCGTGGCTCCATAGGGAGCTCCACCGAAGGCCCCAGTGCCCGCGCCCGCATGCGTCACCCACACCCATTTCGGCACACCCCTCACACGTTTCGTGGCCCCATAGGGAGCTCCACCGAAGGCCCCAGTGCCCGCGCCCGCATGCGTCACCCACACCCATTTCGGCACACCCCTCACACGTTTCGTGGCCCCATAGGGAGCTCCACCGAAGGCCCCAGTGGCGGCGCTCACATGCGCATGCGTCCCGCACACCCATTTCGGCACATCCCTGACAGGTTTCGTGGCCCCATCATCCACCGGAGGCCCCAGTGGCGGCGCTCACATGCGTCACCCACACCCACCCAATTCGGCACACCCCTCACACGTTTCGTGGCCCCATAGGGAGCTCCACCGAAGGCCCCAGCGGCCGCGCTCACATGCGTCCCCGCCACCCATCCCGGCACGCCCCTCACAACAACAGGTTTCGTGGCCCCATGGGGAGCTCCACCGAAGGCCCCAGTGCTGCCGCCCGCATGCGTCACCACCCGCACCCAATTCGGCACACCCCTCACACGTTTCGTGGCCCCATAGAGAGCTGCACCGAAGGCCCCAGTGGCGGCGCTCACATGCGTCCCCGCCACACATCCCAGTACACCCCTCACGCGCTTCGTGGCCCCATAGGGAGCTCCACCGAAGGCCCCAGTAGCGGCGCTTACATGCGTCTCCGCCACCCATCCCGGCCCCCCCCCCGCAGCAGCATCATGTTTCGGGGACCCATAGGGAGCTCCACTGGAGGCCCCAGTGGCGGCCCGCACATGCGTTTCCGCCACCCATGTCGGCACGCCCCGCGCGTGTTTCATGTCCCCATAGGGAGCTTCGCCGAATGCCCCAGTGGCACCCATCTCGGCACACCCCTCACACGTTCCGTAATCCTATGGGGAGTTCCATTGAAGATGAAACCCGCAGCTGCGGTACTGACAACTGCATATGGTTGGGTTCTTCGCCAGGCTAATTTGTATTCTTTTTTTGGCAGGGATGCTGGGGGGGCCTTATCGGGTGGGCCGCGCGCGCATACTCCAAGTGTGGAAGCAGAGTGCGTTTTGCATTATTTGTTGACAGGGATGGTGGGGATGTGTGAGCATGGTTCCTGGTTGGCCGCTGGTCGCCCGGGGGAGGAGGTGCATGTTAATAGGGAACAATGAGAAACCCCTGCCCGAAAGAGAAGCAGGGGGTTGGAAGAGCGCCCTAGACCACCTACGCCCGGAGAGCTGGTGGGATTTTCCCGTGGGGTCTCGGGGCTCCACCGAAGGCGATACTCGCAACGCTGGACCTCGTTACTGCATGTGGTTGGGCCCTTCGGCGGGATTGGTTTCCCAACCATCGGTGTTGAGTCTTCGTTTTGAAGAGACAGTGCCCGCGTCTCACTCCTTCTTGCCTTCCTCATCCCGCTCCTCCCTCCGCCCACCCCCATCAGGACGACGTTCGGGTTTTCAGTGATTCGGGCTTCGGGGATAGCTTGTCCGGGTCCGCGGCCCGTCTCCTATGGTTCGGGGGGTAGTTCGTATCGAATCCTATGGCTTTGAAGCCCTGTACGAATGTGGCGGGCTGGAGGCCCGAAATTCGGGGCAGTTATGTCGGTCCTTGGGCGCGTGCTCGGCGTTCGAAGGCACCATCTGCCCCCACAGGTGTCTGTCTGTCTGTCTTCCCTCTTCCCCATCCTCTCTATTACTTTTCTCTCCGCACGTCAATTAGTTCGGCTCACCCAGTACAGCGATTCGTGGCCCTCGTGGGAGCTCCACCGAAGGCCCCAGGGGGGGGTGTACCTCATTCGGCCGTCCCACCGATTTCGGCATACCTCTTACACGCTTCGCGGCTCCATGAGGGGCTCCTCCGAAGGCCCCAGGGGGGTGTACCACATGCGGCCGCCCCACTCATGTCGGCACACCCCTTACACGTTTCGTGGCCCCATAGGGAGCTCCACCGAAGGCCCCAGTTCCAGGGCCCGCATGCCACGCTTCGTTGCCCCGTAGGGAGCTCCACCGAAGGCCCCACTGACAGCGCCCGCACTGCGGCCCCGCCCCATTCCGGCACACCCTCACACGCTTCGTGGCCCCATAGTAGGCTCTACCTAAAGCCCCAGTGGCAGCGCCCCATGGCCGCCCTTCCGTCACTCCCTTCACGCGCTTCGTGGCCCCATAGAGAGATACGGAGCTTCACCGAAGGCGATATTCACAATGACGGTACTCACAACTGCGTATGGAGTCCATCGCCAGGATAAGTCAACTAAAAGCCGTTGCCCGCTCGGCGCGCCTGGGCGGCCTCCGGGGTGATCATGAAGCGGCAGTTGTCATTGTTTGGGTGCGTGTCCCATGCACCCGAGAGGCGGGCGGGGACCCAGGGGCTTGCCAATGTCAGGCGAATGTCAGGCGAATGGTGGGCGAATGGTGCGAACACCGATCAGGAGACTGGTGAGCGCCGCAAGCCGCGCGTCAGAAGCACTCGCGGCCTCTGCCTGTCTGGCCTAGTTCATGCAGAGTTGATGAACACCTAGGTCAGTCTAGAGATGCTGCCCAGGCTGACTTAGTCTGATTTGGCCTGGCTCAATGGAAAGGCCTGGTTCAATCTGACCCAGAGCGACCGCTAGAGCTGTCTGGGGTCTTCTGCCGCAAGGTCGCCATGTCTTCATATGTGAACAGCACCGCCAGGAACAGAGCATCATGGTGATACCCCAGTCCTCCCTGGACTCCACGTTCGATGAGACGCAGGACCCCCTCCCTTCTCTCTCCTCCCTCCTCCATCACTTTTCCTCCTCCGTCCTTCTCTCTGCCTCTCCCGCCGTAATCAGACGCACGCTTCGCCATCTCATCGGCCATTGCCTTTGCAGTATACGTGCTCACGTATTAGTATTGGATAGGTCTTGATCAGAGTGAGGGGCCGAACGGTCATCAACTGTCCCTGGGCGCGTGGCTGAAGTGGGGTTCCGCGGTGCGGATTGTTGCTGCGTTGTTGAATTTCAATTAGTACTGATGTACCCCTTATATCCGCCCTGGTGGTGCTCTGGCCTAGGCGCCGGCTGCATTCCTTTGAATTAGAGGTTCATGCTCAAGCGTCTCGGGGTTCTGCCCAAACCGTCCCCCCAACGACAACAACACTCCCGCGCGATATTTCTTCACAATTTACTCCGAGAGGTCCTGGCCCGAGAAGGCACGAACCTCAGGAATGGTGCTCTCGCCTGGGACATCTTCGCAATTTAAGGTCCTTTGGAGCAGTCTTGCCGCTACTTGCGGATGCCGGAACGGCCGTTTCGCTTGAGACTCCCGCGCACTTCAGCGCACCACAGGGGGCTGGAACTCAGGGCAGTCTTGCCGCTACTTGAGAATGCTGGAACGGCCGTTTCGATTTAGTTTTTTACATTTTAGCACCACAGGGGGGTCCTTCAGAACCAGATGGCTGCTAATCGTAGATGCCGGACTTGTTTTGTCGCCTGGGACTTCTTCGCAATTCAGCACCACAAGGGACTCCTTCAGCGCATTTTTGCTGCTACTCGCGGATGCCCGACATGCCGTTTCGCTTGAGACTTCTTCGCAATTCAGCAGCACAGGAAAATCCGTGAGAGCAGTCTTGCCACTATTTGCAGCGGCCCCAGGAGGCTCCAGGACGCTCCAGGGATGAGTTCGAGGAGCGTTTTTCGGCCCTCCCTTGAGTTTGGGTTGGGCTGGCCTTGCGTCGAAGAGCCACGCGCCGACTGGGTTGGTGGATTTCTGGGGCGGAGTTCCGGGGGGGGAGCTATTCACCACCAACAAACCACCCCAACCCAACCCGAAGGCCTCAATTTGTCAGTCATTTTCAGTGGGGTCGGCGGTCGGGTTGGGTTGGAGTGGTTTGATAGGTAGTCTGCTATTGTTGTTTGTTGTCGGATGGGGCCCCCGCTCGAACGGGGCCCCCCCTCGGGGTGTCCGACGTCTCGCACCCATACCGGGAGCGCCTTCATAGTCTTGCCCTTTTCCCATTCCCGCTCCCTATAGGTTTGAGCGTGTGTTGTTCTTTCATCATGGGTGCGATCTTCTTCCGGGTAGAGGAGGGAGAAAGAGAGAGAGAGAGAGAGGCAGAGACAGAGAAACCTGCCGGCAGGTACCCCACGGAAATTTCGGATCACCCGATGGTCCCAGAGATCTACGGAAGCCCAGGGGCACCGTGAGGCCTTGTAAGATCGACGAAAAATGTGCCCCTCGATTTCTCACAGAAAGGTTTATTGCCATGTGCGCCTGCTGTAGGAGGAGGGGGTGGGGTGGAGCGGCCAGGTCGCTCGCGTGATCGGCTCGTAGATCGTGTGGCACGCCAGGAAGATCGCGGGGTTCACCGCGAACGATAGACACACTGATTTATAGCTGGGCAGTGTCCCCAAACATGTCGGGCGGGGGCCGTGGTGTCCGTGTGCCCGCCTTCCGGCTGGCCGGCCGCGCTGTCGTCGAGAGGCGCCACACGGAGGTATCCCGAGGTAGCGCCTATAGGGCCGTACGCAGCCCTCTCATCCGTGGGGGGGGGTCTCTCTCTTGTTTTGCACGCGGTTAGCCGGCTGTTGTGAGCGACTGGGGGAGCGAGGATTTGACGCAATATCGAAGCATTTTCGCATGCCCAGAGATTAGATATTGCCACCAACACCAAGATCGGCGGCGTGCCTCCACCGAGGGAAGACGATCCCGATCTCGGTGATGGTGGTAATATTCTGGCTTGCAAGGTGGCCGAAACAGTACCACCAACACCGGAATCCAGGATCATCTTCCCCCTGTGGAGGCAACCCCCTGTGTTGGTGTTTGTGCCCATGTCCAGGCCTCCAACATTTGCAGCCGGCTTTGGGCAGGTGTAGCGTCGATCTGGCTGATTCGTGGTCTGTCGCCCGGTTCCCGAGGTGATTCTCTTTCGCCTCTTTCTTTGCCTTTTTCTCCAAACAGTATCATCCGTCGGTGCATTATGGCAATGTGCTGCTAGTACTCGCCGTAGGAGATGCGGCCCGCCCCGTGGAAGGCTTCGATGGTACGGATCGGAGCTGGTGCTCTCTTTCACATTTGTCACTGGGTTGCTGCGATCTCTCTGACCTCTGCGGCCTCCTCATTCCTGCGTGATGTGTGAGGGAGGCGCTCTTCTGGTGGACGTCGTAGCCCAGCTGCTTGCCCTCGTACCTCAACAGGTGGCCCCCGGCGCTGCTGGTGGTCCTCGCAGCCCTGCTGGTCGCCCTGGTAGCTCAGCTGGTTGCCCATGAAGCTCCGCTGGCGGGCTCTCGTAATTCAGCTTGTTGGCCTTGTGGCTCAGCAGGTGCTCCTGGTACGTCTGGTGCCGGCTCTCGTAGCCCACCAGTTGGCCCTGGCAGCTCAGCCGGTGGCGTTCGTAGCCCTCGTAGCGCAGCCGTTTGCTCTCGTGGCTCATTCGGTGGCCCGGGTAGCTCAGCCTGCCTGGTAGCTAAGCTGATGGTCCTCGAAGGCCCGCTTCTGGCCTTCACAGCTCAGCTTGCAGCCCTCGCAGCTCAGCTGGTGGCCCTCCTCTGAGCTCTTGCTGATGGCTCTCGAACCTCAGCAGGTCGTAAGTCAGCCAGCGGCCCTCGTAGCCCTGTTGGTGGCTCTCGAAGCTCTGCCTGTGGCCCTCGTACCTCCGTTGCCTGTTGCCCTAGAAGCTCAAGCTGCGGCCCTCGTAGATCAGCAAGTTGTCTTCGTAGATCAGCATGTGGCCGCCCTTGACGCTCGGCTGGTGGCTTGCGCGGCATGGATTCGACCACGTGGTATCTAGCCTGTTGAAGCGGTAGCTGGTAGAGCCCTCTTGTTAGGGCTTGCGTCCCTTCGTTATACCCACTTCCCGTGGCAAAACCCAGCCTTTACTCGTACCCCTTTCGCACGAATGTATCATGCTCGAAGTTGCCGAACTCTTAGCTGTTCCGTCGTATTGGCAGCTATTGACCTCCTTTGTGGTCGCTGTGCTCATACATTTTGCGGGGTAAACATCGGGGCCTCCTTGTTCAGGTTGCTGGCGTTCAGGGGTAAACAACGTGCGCGGCGGTCGCAGAGGTGTGGCTTCCAATATTGTCCTTCTCATTCGAGGGTACGTTGCCGTAGTCATTCACCTTCTTAAGTGAAAGCAGGGGTGGTAACGATCATGCTGTCTTTGGGATTTGGCTGTTGTCCATGTCTGACGAAGTATCCCATTCGCATTAGAGATGTGTGTTGTTTTCGTGCCATTCACAGTTCGTGAGGTATTTCACGATAGCATGGCGTCTGCCGAGCCGCGGCGCGACCAGCGTACTAAGACCGTCCAACCTCCGCACGCGGGGGATCGAGTTTCCGCACATGGCCTTCAGCCAAAATGGCTTGAGCCAAAATGGCTACGAAAACTAATTTTCTGGTTTGTCCTCTTATTTCAAATCTTCCGTCACTCCTGGCCCATCGGTGCCAGACTGCATGAGCTCTTTGAGCTATTAGATCATGATGCTTCCCCTCCTGCTCCTCTCCTCTGCGGCCGCGAGGCGCTACGTTGCCGACGAGGTTGACGCCGACGACTACGACTACGAAGTGCCGGCGACGACGCGACGACGACCGTCTTCGCCGCCCTCTGCCGAGCGCCGAGCGAGGATGACGAGAATCCGTTCAACTACCCCCATCGCGCGAAGAGGGACTGCTGGCCCCGCCCGGGGGGGCGAGGGAGGGAGGGGTACGATCGGAACGGGAACAGAAGGAACGGGGACGAAGACCTGGCGCGGACGCGAGGGTACGGCCGAGACGCCGGAATTGACGCCTCGCGTATCCCCAGCAGCCCGCACTCGTCCTCGTGCTTCGAGCGGGCTTTGCCTCACGGCACACCCCTAATTCCCCAGAGTTTTGCTGGGCTGCAAGTGCCTGAGCTTCCCTGGACGCCCTCAGCTTGCCAGCTCTTCCGCGCAGTTTGCCGCTGCTTGGTGAGTGGGCTTGCCGGCCTGCGGCGCGTTTAGTAATTAGCTAATTAGGCCGCTTCCGTGTCCCGGAGCGCTTCTGACTCCGCTTGCGCTCTTGCTGGTGGACGCGACCGAAAAAAGTATCCCCAGCAGCCCATTCAGGAACAGTTTGCCAGGCGAGTTGAAGCGTTGTTCTGAGAGGTTCTCGGGGGTCTCTTGGAGCCATGTTGGGGCTCTCTTGAGGTCCTCTTGGGGCCCTCTAGGGGCCCTCTTGGGGCTCTTTTTGTGCTCTGTTTGGGCCCTTGGGCGGGTCTGAGAGGTCTCTCGGGGCCGTCTTGGCCCCCGTAGCTCAAAAGGAGGGGGTCCTCAATTCAGCCCCGCCCCCCCGTCGGGCGCTCTTGAGGTCCTCTTGGGGCCTTCTTGGGGCGCTCTTGAGGTGCTCTTGGGCGCTCTTGGGGCCCTCTTGGGATGCTCTTGGGCCCCTCTTGGGGCTCTCTTGGGCCGTCTCGGGGCCATCTTGAGACCTCGGAAGCCCACCAGCAGCGAAAAGGCGAGATTGCAACAACCAGTTATTTTCCTATGGTTTTGGAGCCATTTTGGCCTCTTGGGGGAGGGTCCTTGGAGGGCCCGGAGGGTACTTGAAACCGATTTTGGGCCGTCTCGGGGCATCTTGGGCCATCTTGGGCGCTCAAGCGCCTCGCGCCCCCCCTCCCGGACCCAGGAGAGGGGGTAGAGGGAGGGGTCAAGCTACCCACCCGTCCGCAAGCCGTCTAGCTTCTAGCTCACTCCCACCCGCCCTCTCAACACATAAGTAACACCCGAGGCTGAACATGTTCAGCGGTCGTCTTTGGATGGACAGCTACTGGGAACCACAGACGACCCCAGGTGCGCGACGCTTGGGCGAGATGCACCACGCGTGCCATGGGCGCCAGGCGCGCCAGGCACCCCTGGGGCCCGAGAGAGCAAGGCACGCCTGGTGCGCCAGATGCGCCACGTGCTCTGAGGGCGCCAGGTGTGCCGCATTCCAGCTGCGCCAGGCCCTATGGGGCCACGAAGCGCTGTCCTGGGTGGCGGTGACGCATGCGGACCCTGCCACTAGAGCCTTCGGTGGAGCCCCCTATGGGGCCACGAAGCGTTGTCGTGGGTGGCGGTGACGCATGCAGACCCTGCCACTGGAGCCTTCGGTGGAGCTCCCTATGGGGCCACGAAGCGCTGCCCTGGGTGGCGATGACGCATGCGGACCCTGCCACCGGAGCCTTCGGTGGAGCTCCCTATGGGGCCACGAAGCGTTGTCCTGGGTGGCGGTGACGCATTCGGACCCTGCCAGTGGAGCCTTCGGTTGAGCTCCCTATGGGGCCACGAAGCGCTGTCTTGGGGGGCGGTGACGCATGCGGACGCAGCCACTGGAGCCTTCGGTGGAGCTCCCTATGGGACCACGAAACACTGTCCTGGGTGGCGGTGACGCATGCGGACCCTGCCACTGGAGCCTTCGGTGGATCTCTCTATGGGGCCACGAAGCGCTGTCCTGGGTGGCGGTGACGCATGCGGACCCTGCCACGGGCCACGAAGCGCTGTCCTGGGTGGCGGTGACGCATGCGGACCCTGCCACTGGGGCCTTCGGTGGAGCTCCCTATGGGGCCATGAAGCGCTGCCCTGTGTGGCGGTGACGCCTGCGGACCTTGCCAGTGGAGCCTTCGGTGGAGCTCCCTATGGGGCCACGAAGCGCTGTCCTGGGTGGCGGTGACGCATGCGGACGCAGCCACTGGGGCCTTTGGTGGAGCTACCTATGGGGCCACGAACCGTGTGAGGGGTGTGCCGTAATGGGTGGCGGTGGCGCATGCGGACTTTGCCACTGGGGCCTTCGGTGGAGCTCCCTATGGGGCCACGAACCGTGCGAGGGGTGTCCCGTAATGGGTGGCGGTGACGCATGCGGACCCTGCCACTGGGGCGTTCGGTGGAGCTCCCTATGGGGCCACAAACCGTGTGAAGGGTGTCCCGTAATGGGTGGCGGTGACGCATGGGGACGCAGCCACTGGGGCCTTCGGTGGAGTTCCCTATGGGGCCACGAACCGTGTGAAGGGTGTGCCGTAATGGGTGGCTGTGACGCATGAGGACGCAGCCACTGGGGCTTTCGGTGGGGCGCCCTATGGGGCCACGAACCGTGTGAGGGGTGTGCCGAACTGATGATGATGGTGATGATGATGATGATGATGATGATGATGATGATGATGATGACGATGATTATGGTGACGGTGATGCTGATGATGGGGAGAGGGAGGGGGGGCAGCGGGAGGAGGAGGAGGAGGAGGAGGAGGAGGAGGAGGAGGAGGGACGCTCGGCGCTGTCTCGTCAAAACGAGGACCCAACACCACAGGATGGTTGGGAACAATACGAAGTGCTCGCGGGCCTCACGAACATGATTCAAGACTTTGCCCCAAAGTATATGTTGTATGGTCTTTGACTAGGGATGGTGGGGCGGGGCCGCATCCTGTTGGCCGCGCATGCTCCTCATGTGGAGGCAGAGTGCGTTTTGTATTTTTTCGACAGGGATGGTGGGGGGGGTGGCTCGCATGGGGTCGGCATGTTTCCGGGTTGGCCGCTAGCCGGATGGGGGGAGGGGTGCGTATTTACAGGAAACAGTGATCAAGACATTCTTTGGATAGCAAGCCGTCTAGCTCATTTCCACCCGCCCTCCCGCGCATTTGGGGCCCTCTTGGGATGCTCTTGGGCCCCTCTTGGGGCTCTCTTGGGCCGTCTCGGGGCCATCTTGAGGCCTCGGAAGCCCACCAGCAGCGAAAAGGCGAGATTGCAACAACCAGTTATTTTCCTATGGTTTTGGAGCCATTTTGGCCTCTTGGGGGAGGGTCCTTGGAGGGCCCGGAGGGTACTTGAAACCGATTTTGGGCCGTCTCGGGGCATCTTGGGCCATCTTGGGCGCTCAAGCGCCTCGCGCCCCCCCTCCCGGACCCAGGAGAGGGGGTAGAGGGAGGGGTCAAGCTACCCACCCGTCCGCAAGCCGTCTAGCTTCTAGCTCACTCCCACCCGCCCTCTCAACACATAAGTAACACCCGAGGCTGAGCATGTTCAGCGGTCGTCTTTGGATGGGCAGCTACTGGGAACCACAGACGACCCCAGGTGCGCGACGCTGGGGCGAGGGGCGCCGCGCCTGCCAAGCGCGCCAGGCGCGCCAGGCACTCTTAGGGCCCGATCGTGCCAGGCACGCCTGGTGCGCCACATATGTCACATGCGCCACGTGCTCTGGGTGCGCCAGGTGTGCCGCACACTGCAGCCGCGCCAGGTGTGCTACTTTCGGGGCACGTGCAGAGTGCGTCAGGTGCGCCTGCGCACGTGACAGCACACATCGGGAAACTTGTCGGCCCCCGCCATCCTTGTCGAAAAGCAATGCCCATCATTGTGCCTGGTGGGCCTGCGCACAGCAGGCCCGCCGTCCCTGTCAAAAACCGCTTGTAAGTGATCGCTGGGTGGCCGCGCATGATCCAGATTTGGCCGCGAGGTGCATTATGTATTGTCTTTTGTTAGGGGTGTTAGCATATTGTCTGCGCACAGCAGGGGAATATGCTGACACTCCCGCCGTCCATGTCAAAGACAATGCAAAGTGCTCGCGGGCCTCACGAACATGATTCAAGACTTTGCCCCAAAGTGTCCTTTGTATGGTCTTTTGACAGGGGTGGTGGGGCGGGGCCGCATCCTGTTGGCCGCGCATGCTCTTCACGTGGACGCAACGTGCGTTTTGTTCTGTTTTTGACAGGGATGGTGGAGGGAGGGTAATCATTATTCCTGGTTGGCCGCCGGTCACCTGGGGGAGGGGGTGTATGTCAATGGGGAAGAATGATAAACCCCTCACCCGCGCAGGGGAAGGAGGGGTTGTGGGAACAGGGAAGACAAAACTCGTTAAAACCACCTGCGCCCCGAGGGCTGGTGGGACTAGGGCCACTCTGGGTTCCGGTAGCGCTCTGGCTCTCGGGCCGTTCTTCATGTCCAGGCTGGGGAACTAGTTTGCGGCCGAGGCTCGCCGTGGCCAAGAGAAAGCCCTGTCTCATCTGATTCGGGAGTCCTCACAGTGATCCGACGCCTGTCAGGGCCGCCTACGCTTCGAGTCGATACGATTCGATTCGCCAGCTGGGGCCAGCTGGAGCAGGGCGCGGCGAAGTGACCTCGATTCGGCTCGGGACAGTTCGCTATTCGCCCGCGATCCGACCCGTTTTCGTTTCCGAGCCGATCCGATCCCGCGATTCGATCCAGCTCAGGCCCGGCTGCAGGGAGAGGCGCCTTTCCAGGACTCCCAGATGGGGTCCGAGTAGATGGGGTCGGATGCTCGCGCCGCCTCGCCGATGCATCGGCGATAGGCTCGATGTGGAGCCCGATTTTCTCCACGCCGACGGCGCTGGCGCGTCGCCGACGTCGCCAGCGCATCGCCAATGCATCGTCGCCGATGCATCGGCGATGCGGCGTGATCCTCCGACCCCCTCTGCTCAGACCCCATGCAGGAGGCCCCTTCGGATGGGACTGGGACGAGGGCAAATCCCTTCAGAGCGTTCCTGAACGCTCTCGGAGCGCTCGGGAACGCTCTGAGAAGGCCGCGGCGCCCGATACATCTTCCAGAGCCGCCGGATCTCAGAGATTCTCGAGTTGCCCTCACCCGAATCTGTCCTAGTCCTGGCTTCGTCTTACCTCTGGCCCTGCCTTGGCGGGATCGGTGCCCACCGCCCGCCATCGCGTCCCGCTGGGTTATGCAGGCGCGTTCCCCTCTCGGGGCGGCGCCCTGCCTGGAAAGGGGCAGCCGCCATCGCTCGGCCACGCGCTTTTCGGGACGTTTGGGGCCCCCACAGAACGCTCTCGGCGAGGCGCAGCCGCCGGAGCACATCCCGAGGCTGGAACGTCGCCGAGAATCGACGAAAACGCCTGAAAACCTCGAACCTCGAAACATCGAAACCTGAGGAGGTGGGGAGAGGATCGGAGGGCAGGAGGGTGTCCGTCGGCCACGCGCAGACGGGGTAGGGGGAGGGGGGAATAGCTTCTTAGAAGCACCTCCTCCTCCTCCTCCTCCTCCTACTCCTCCTCCTCCTCCTCCTCCTCCTCCTCCTCCTCCTCCTCCTCCTCCTCCTCGGGCGCGCCGCGGGTGCCTCCCGGCTGATCCTGGGCATGCCCCGCAGCAGGCCGACTGGCTGCGCGAGCAGCGAAGGGCCTCCAGGGGCCCCGCGGCCTGCCTCGCTCCAGACGCGCACGGCCCGCGGGCGAGCGGCCGCCCGCCCCCGGCGGCGGGGATCTCCTGGCCCGCCGACCCGCCGGCCGAGCGCGGCGCCGCGCCGCCGACGGCACCCCGCGCGCCGCACGCCGACGGGCAGGCGGCGCCGGCGAGCGCGGCGGTGGAGGAGGAGGAGGAGGAGGAGGAGGAGGAGGAGGAGGAGGAGGACGAGGAAGAGGAGGAGGAGGAGGAGGAGGAGGAGGAGGAGGAGGAGGAGGAGGAGGAGGAGGTCGCCACGGCACGCGCCCGCCGCAGTCGTTTCGGAGCAGCCTGTGGTTGTACGGCCTGCGCCGGCGGGCGTGTCTCGGGTCCCCAGGGTTCTTTGGGTGGCCAGGCAGCCGCCCGGCGAGGGTGACCCCTCTCCTCGTCCTCCTCCTCCTCCTTCTCCTCCTCCTCCTCCCTCGTCCGAGGATTCGTGGTGTCGATGTGTTGCGCTCAGGGGTCGGCGGCGCCAGGGCGAGAGCGGCGAGACGCCCGCCAGGTACGCCGCCAAACCGAGACGCTCTGCGTGGGTGATCCTCCCCCTCCTCTTCGCTCGCTCGCTCGCTCGCTCGCTCGCTACCTAAGGGCTAAAGAGGTCCGAAGCCCATGCTCAAAAGAGAAGAGGGCGGCGAAGACAGTACCCCCTACCATGCACGTGCAACAAGAGGGAAGGGTGAGACGAGGAGCTTAGGTGTTACCACTCGCCCTTCCTCTTCCTCCTCCTCCTTCTCCGCCTCGTCCCCCTCCCCCCGAATCGTGATGCCGATATGTTAGTCTGCGCTGGCAGGCCTGTCCGCGGCTGGGGATGCCCAGAGCGCTCGGGTAGCGCATGCAGTCGCCCTCCGCCGCCTTTCCCTCCTCCGCCTCCTCCTCGCCTCCTCCTCTCCCGGGGTCGTGGCACGGAGTGCGCCAGGGTGGCCGCTCCAGTGCGAAGAATTGGCGTGCGGGCCAGCTGCACGCGGGGGTAGGCCACTGACGTGCCGCCTGGCCTTGTCGGCCGCTCTCGCCAGGGAGCCGCTGCTAGCGCGCGCTGCCTTAGTCGGCTTGCCGCCACCACACGGCTGGGCCTTGTGGGCAGCCTGCAGCTGTTGGATCAGCTCTTGCCTGTCTTATGGCAGCTATCTTATATCTATATATATATATAGATATATTGATCCGCTATATTCTAGTTGCCATCGGGATGCAACTCTTGGCCTTGCGAGTTTCAGTCTTCTGGGACGGTCCTGCCAGAGCAGAGCACCCTGAGCAGCGCAGAGTGGGATGATAGTGCGCCGAGTCCGTGATATTGTTGCGTGCGCGAGCGGAGTACCACTTCAATTTCAGGCTTGATCCATCCCTGAACAGCGAGTCTGTCCTTCTCGCTCCTCGGCCTCCTCGGCCTCTCTTCTCCTCCCGCTCGTCCTCCCGCTGTCGTGGTCTCTTCGTGTCGCTGGCGCTGGATTCGCGGCTGCCTGGCTGCTATGCGTCACAGATCGTTGCGATCACTTGGTGCCGCCTCGCGGAGGCCACCAGAAAGTTGCACTGCAAGCGTGGGCTCGTTTCACTGGTCAGTATCGTTTAACCGACCCCCATCCACATCCCCATCCCCTTCGAGACCCCCACCAACGTACCTCCCAGTTGGGGATGCACCCCTCGAAACCCGAAGGGAACGGCTTATATTCCCATCTAGGGGGGTAAATCGGCCAGTGGGGCCCAGGCCACGCCGCTGGGGATGGGGATAGGTTGAACGATACTCTGTTGGTTAATAGTCCTTCATTACCATTGCTGCTTGGAAAAATTGTTAGAACACCCCTGCATCTTAGAAGGCGTGGGCTTTGTCTATAGATGCAGGGCCGGCGTCTTCTAAGAAGCAGCCTCCTCCTAAGAAGTCTTGCTCCCTCCCCCTACCCCCTTGTGCTCGCCGCCAAATTGCGTCCACGACGCCAGCTGCAGGTCAGTAGAGGAAAAGGCACCACGGCTCAGAGGAGGAGAAGTTACCCAGACGTGCTGGGGTCGTGAAAGAATAGCGACGGGAGGGTTTCCGCCGTTTTCGGCCTCTGGGGGCCCTCGCTGGGCCCCGAGACCGTTGTAAAACGACTCGGCATGGAAAATTGGCCTGTGGGAAGGGGTCGGGGTTTCCAGGGGTTCCGTGTTGAAAAGACCAGGGCGTCGCATCTCCGGGGAGGTACCGATACCGCTGCGCTTGCCTCGTTCTCGTGTTTTTGGGGCCTTCTGGGAGGCCCTCGTTGCCACGGCTGGATTTGCCTTGGAATTGTGGTCAGAACCGGGGGAGGTCTGACTTTCAGGAGGAGGAGGAGGAGGAGGAGGAGAAGCAGAAGCAGCAGGAGGAGGAGGAGGAGGAATTGTGGTCACAACCGGGAGTAGCGGTAGCGGTTCCTTTTGGTTCCCACATCAGGGGCAACGCTAGGGGGGAACAGGCTCAGGGGGGATGCATCGGCCCCCAATCGCCCACTGTCGTCGACAGGGGCCTGAAAGCCCACCCCGCCCAGGAACGCGCGGTTTTGCCATCGCGGTCCTATCGCCGACCTGTCGGCGATGGATCGCTGATTCGAGGCTGACGTTTCCCATTCCTGAGCCAGCCCCGCCCCCCCTGTCGTCCGCCCTCGTGCCAACCGCGACAGGGGTGCGGCAGCACTCGGGGACTGTGTCTGGATCGCGCTTGGGCATCCGAGCCGGCCGCGGCGGAGACTTCACCGCCACGGCGATCTCATCACGGGCCTCCGCCACGTGGTTGCAGCTCGGCGACGGGCCCCGGAACAAATTGCCCCCTGGCGAGCCTGCGCTGCAACTCGCAGCGGGAGGAAGGCGGGGAGGCCAGGGACAGCGGCATGGGCGACTGGCCCCAGGGGGGGCGCATCGACCCCTACAGTCGACAAGTGTGGTAAGACTGGGTCACCTTCCCAGGGGTATTCTTGCATCCGTGCCTCTCTTCGCTCCATCCTTCACCACTTTCGGCGGCCAGCCCCGCTCGCGGAGCCTCGACATGGGCGCCCAACGGGCCTGCATCCCTACTGAGCATCCTTGCTGCCAATCTTGAGCGTAATCCTCCCGCTCGTCGCCGATCGGGGCCCAGACCAGCCGGGGCCCCCCTTTTTCCGGCCAGGAGCGCGCGGTCTCGCTGCCGAGGCACCTCGCCGATTTGTCGGCGACGTATCGCCGATGCTGGGTCGATGTTTCCCCCCTCACTGTCCCCCCCGTGTGGTGCGACGGCATCTCACACAGTATACGATCAAGCACTGGGGATGATACTAGGACGGGGCTGGATGTTGCAGGAAACCGGACACTATGAACCGGCTGGGAAAAGGATTACCTTGCACACGTGCACATTTGGACTGGCCCCGCTCCTGAGGGGCCCGCCTGCAGGCGGACACACGCGCCTCGTCTCTTCTCAAGAGGTGGGGGGGGGGGCAGGCTGAGGACACGTCATCTTTTCCAACCACCAGCCGCCTTCCAGGGTTCATTTATACCCGATCGATCCGATTCGATTCCGATGTTCTGGCGATCTAATGCGGCCCGGCGGCCAGGTGTCTGCGTGGCGCAGCCTGGCGCGGCTGGTCCGATTCGATTCCGATTCCGTGCTAATGAATCCCGATTCGACGCGCTTTACGATCCGATCCTGTTTCCCGATTCGATGATGGCTGATCTTGCCCTCCGCCTCCACCCTCCTTTTTCCCCTCCTGGCCCATTCCTTACCCCCCTTTTCCTTCCGCTTTTCACCGCTCTTCCGAATCCCGATTGCTCCCTCTCGACCTCAGCCACCTTCCTCGTTGCTTCGTCTGACCACCGAGACGGGCGCAGGAGAACGCAGAGAGGATGTACAACCTCCTCGTGGAGTCGCTGAGAACAAAGGCCAAGGCCTCAATGCCGTCGTATCGCCTGGGGTCCTTTTGGTCAGAAGGAAGAGGCGGAAAATGACGATGAGGACGAGGAGGACGAGGAGGATGGGAAAGGATGTGCATAGATGTATGTATTGCCCTCCGCACGCACCAGTTATCACACTTTCTGTAAAGTTATTACAGGAGTTCAGACATGATTCATGTGATTTTCGCACTCAAATGTGAGGCTTCTTGTTTTGAAGGTTTTTCAGCTCTAGCTCGGAACGATGTTCGCCCTTTGCAACTGCAGCCGCTTCCACCAGCCCATGACATGGGCTGGGTCGTGGTGGTCGGTCGGGACTTGATGGACCTCTTCCGTCCACAACACAACACCCAGCACTCAACAACTTCTCCTTATGGAACCTACGGATTTTGAATGATTTCGGCATGCGTGCGCGACGGCGCGCGCGTGCACTTCGTCCCATCTTTTGCAAGGGATTCTTGGAAGCCTACGCTTGTTGATGAACGAGTGCTCGCGCATTGTATTTTTCAAGAAGATGAGGGAGGCGAGTGGCGATGCCGGTGCAGCTGGGATGGTATGAACCAGTTTTCCGCATGGACGATGAGGTTGATTCGTATGTCGATTGTGGTACGCGAAGGGCTCCCGTTAAGTCCGGCCAGGGGGGACGGGGGTAGACGACGGCGACGACATAGCCGCCAGCGCGGCAGACAGTCGCAGACAACGGGCGGCGACGATGCGGCGGCGGGGCGGCGATGGCGACAACCTAGCCGCCAGAGCGGCAGACAGGCCCAGACGACGGGTGGCGACGAGGCGGCGACGGGGCGGCGACGGCGACAACCTAGCCGCCGGAACGGCAGACAGGCCCAGTTTCTGAATAAGGACGGGGAACCCCTAAGTGCAAGCACTGCTTGGGGAATCTGCCCCTTTGTGTGGGGAAGGGTTCGCATTCCAGATTCTTTTGCGAGGGAGGCTTTCGAAACATATCTTCTCACGCGAGTTTTACACGAGAGCCACTTCTGCGGGAGAGGAGTTGCACTGAGATTTCTCCTGCGTGGGGGCGAGGCAGACATTTTTTTTCGTTTCGCGGCGAGCTATTCGCATAGAGTGCACCTTGCCATCTCACGAATAACCACCTTATGCGTGAGAGGACTTGTACATCGATTCCTGGTGCGAGGGGGCTATCACATCCAGCTCGTATATGCGGGTTTGCACATACACCCATCTTGAGAGAGGAGCTAGATTTGGAATCTGTATTATGCCAGGGATGGTTGATACATTTATATTCATTATGTGAGGGAGGCTGTTCGCTTGGAGTCCTTCCGTGCCGGTTTTCCCAAAGCCGTTCTTTCTGTGGAGAAGGATGTATGCATTGGGTTTTTTGTTTGAAGGGTGTCTTCCCCATGAATTATTTAATCGCTTCGCTCATTCCGCTGGCCCTGCAGCCCTCTTTAGGGCCTCACGCTTGAGGGCCTCTTGGGGACCTGGGGACCTGTTGGGAGTCTCTTGGGGCTCCTTGGCGGCGTCTTGGGGGCCCCCAGGCCCTCTTGAGGGGCTTTGGGGGGCCTCTTGGGGCGGGAGGGGGGGTAGTCGATTGCGGCTCCCCCCTCGGAGGCCACGATCCTCGTGAGGGTGTCGAAAAATGGCCCTCCCCTGGAGTGCTCTGGTGGCTTCTCCCGGGACCTTGCCGGGGTACTTTTCGTCCGGGGGCCCCAGGGGCCGCTCATAAATTATTGGGAAGAGCTTGCGGCTGGTGCCGCCGACCTTGAAGAGACTACGACGACGGCGGCGGCGGCGACGACGAAGCTGACGCACTGGAGCCCTTCTTGGGGCTCGCTTGGGAGCCTATTGCGCTCTGTTCGGGGCCCTCTTGGGGAACTTTTTGGGAAGCTCCGTCTCCACTTGGAGCCGCCTCGGAACGGATCTGAGGGATCTTGCACGCATGTGGAAAAAGCAAGCAGCACCCCGCAACAGTAGATAATAGTGAGGAGCGGCCTGAAAGGGGGGTCTACGAGGAGGGAGTGGTGGTGGTGGCCCAGGGAGGCGGGAGGAGGGGTCCTGAGTTTCCCTTGTCCGCAAGGGGACAACCCCCCTGTCCCCCTGTCCACGGGGGGCAGCCGGGACCCCCCTGTACTCCCCCCGCTACCCCCCTTGTAAAAGTGAGAACGGTTAGCAGACTGATGGCCTGCGTGTGCCGTACGAGAAATCACCACGATGTTCGGAGTGAGTGCTCAATTTCCTGAGGGACCAGGCCTGTGCGACAGTCTTTAAGCGCCCGCTGCTGCTAGCGACACCGCCCCTGCATGGGGATCCATCGTTCTGAACAAGGTGTCGTGCAGGCAAATATGAACGACTGGCATACACCCTACAGGATAATTAAGAAAAAGCAACTTCGGAGCCAGGGTCTGGATTTTCTTAACCCTATTTAAGAAAATCTGAGTTCCAGGGTAGACTATTGAGATTTTCTTAAGTATGTAAGATAGACGCCGAAACAAAACAAGAAGACGGAGGAGGAGGCGGAGGAGGAGAGCATCTGAGCAGGAGGCGGAGGAGGAGGAGGAGGCGGAGGAGGAGGGGGGCATCTGAGCATTTGAATTGATTGGCATCATGTGCATTTCAATTGATTGACATTGTGCATCGCCGTCGGAACCGGAATGGGTTGCTTCATTTCGGTAGGAGGAGCGCTTGGGTATTCTAATATATTATTTTATTAAATGATGTTTGATGCTATCATGTATTGATCTCTATAGCCCGGGGTTTCTGTAGATCCAGACCCAGACCGCGGGTTAAGAAAACGGGGTTTCCAGAGTCTGTTTTCTTAGGTTAAAGTTTTCTTAATTAAAATTCCCGGTGTAGGCAACATTCGAAATCTCGCGCGACTGCCAGTAGAACTCACAATCCCAAGGGTGGTGGGAAATAAATGTCACGCGGCCCCTTTCAGCCTCAAAGCTGCAGCCCATACAAAGAAAATGCTGAATCTCTTAGTTCGGAAGTAATTCGGGGAAGACGTGATAGTACGGATCGGCGGACTGACGGCCACGTCACGCGCATTGTGCGCAATAGTGTCTGGCACTGAAGGGTGGCCTGATCAGCATGACACACACGCAGAGCACTGTGGACGGTCTTGTAATCATAGCCCATGGTCTGCAATTCCACGAGGTCCATCAAGAAGGCCAAAGAGTACGCCGGCCTATCCATACGAAGCTGTCTCCGTCGGGCCCTTCTCCCGCACAAGTTGGCACGGAGGCGGGATTGCACGATCTCTCGCGGACTTCCCCCTCCTACCCCTCCATGGACCCCCCCCCGCTACCCCACCCCAAGCCAGGGAAGGGATCAACAGGACGGGACTTCCCTTCGAATCAAGTGCGACGTTGTTTGATTTGCGTCGGGGTTGATCGCTTGAGGAGGACGCCACAGGGAAGGCGGGGAGCGGCGACGGCGACAACGACCATTCGAACCGAAAAACTTGTCGCACACGCCGACAGGGTCGGCGGATGCATGTGTAGGTTTGAGGGGCATGTGTTGCGCATCGGCTCCTGATGCGACAGGGATTTTCAAGTAAAGTATAGTGTGAAGGCCTTACGGCCGGTGCCGCCGACCCTGAAGGTTTTGGCCGTCGATGGCGACGGGATGTGTGATCACAGGAAGGAGCTAAAGGACAACGTGACAGGGTAGGTGGAGGAAGTGTGTGAGGAGGAGGAGGAGGAGAAAGAGGAGGAGGAGGAAGAGGTGGAGGAGGAGGAGGAAGAGATGGAGGAGGAGGAGGAGGAGGAGGAGGAGGAGGAGGGGGAGACGAACGAGAAGAAGACGGAGAAGGTGGGAAAGGGAAGGAGGCACGGAGGAGAACAACAACCCATTCCACACGCCGACAGGGTCGGCGGATTCCTCATGAGTTAGTTTTACAAGTGCACCACCACTGTCAGAGCGGACTTTCGTTAACGATTGGTACTGGCTAGTAATATGCACCACTACTGTTAGTAATGATTGTGCTAAGGAGGCCCGCATTCAGTCTGCATGTGTGATATTCCACAATCGATTGCTCATGTGGGCGAGGATTTGCAGTGTGAGAGCTTAACGTAAAGGTCCTTTCTGTCAGTCACGGTTTACACGTGCAGTGATTGTGTTTTTGGGTGTGCCCCAATCGAGTTCATGTGTGTGGGTTGTATTCAGTGGTTCTTTCTGCCGAGTAGGAGTGGCAGCTGTATTGATTGTGTGAGAGGGATGGTTTTCATGCGTTTGTGCAACCTTTCTGCAGGGGATGATTCACGAGCCGATGTCTCATTCGAGAGAGTTGTTGTAACGTAGCGCTGGTTGAGGAGGGGAGGATGAAGGTTGATGCTCAGGATGATGCTGCCGATGATGGCGGTGACGATGATGAGAGGGAGATGGATGACAGTGATGGAGGGGAGAGTGAGCCCATGTCTAATATGAGGATAATGAAAGGGGGGAAGGGTGAGGAGGAGGGGGGGGAAGGGATATCATCAGGTTGAGGGAGGGTTGAGGGGCGGGATGTGGGGATACACAACGAAATGGTTCTCCTCTTCTTCTTGCATCTCCTGCCCCACGTTTCTCCCCCTTCCTCCTCCTTTCTAAGTTTTTCTTCCGCGAACCCTTCCGTCTTTGCGTTCCAGTGCCAGTCTCAGAATCAGAAGACGCTTCTTGCTCAATGCTACTCTGGTTCGTAAGTTTGACCCGCTCGCCTCCCCGCCCTACACGACCCGCCCGTCTCAACCATTTCCTTCTCGCGAGGACGTCCGCTGTTTCGTGCCTCGATCCGACCCGCCCGTCAGGATCTGCCCGCCCCGCTCGAGCATTTCCTTCTCGCGAAGGCACCTCGCATGTCAATGCCCCTCCCGACACGACCCGCATGTCAGGTCCGCCCGACCGAACGCATTTGGGTTGTAGCCATTCCGAATCGAATTCTTGTAGCACTGCTTCCAGCCGTAGGAGGAGGAGATGAAGGAGGAGGAGGAGGAGGAGGAGGAGGAGGAGGAAGAGGAGGAGCTAGCTTTGCCGGCGCGCATGCGCTTGATCCATGCAAGGATACGTGGTGGGGTCCGTAAGGATTCTTCTGGTAAAGCGGTCTTCCCAGACAACAAAAAACATTAGCTCGTGTCACAGAGGCGTTGCTCGTTGATCGCCCCCCCCCTCACCCAGAGGGAAGCAACAGCAGCACTGAGCTCGGAGCGGGGGGCGCTCGCCCCGAGGGCGAGCGCGTTCCGTGTAGAGTCTGGCTGTTTGGGCTTGGGTCTGCTGTCTTTAAGCAAATGGGGCCCCTGGATCTCTGGAACACTTCCTGGGTACCGCTTGTCGTCCCAGAACTGTGTTCGACGGCCCCTGTGTTCGGAAGTAACCTCCCACAGGCCGAGAATAGAGACAACCCGCCGTTTACTGATTCCATCGCTTCGCGCATTCCGCCAGCCCGTATTGTGCCATCGCAGGCGTTTGTTTGCGCATTCGTGGCCGCTTGGGGGCGGTTTGGGGGCCTCCTTGGAGTCTCTTTCCGGGCTTCTTGGGGACCTCCAAGGGGCCTCTTGGGCTCTCTTGGGAGCCTTTTGGGGGCTTCTTGGGGGCCTCTTGGGGCTCTCTTCGGGGCCTCTTGGTGGCCTCTTGGGGGCCTCTTGGGGGCCTCTTGGGGGCCTCTTAGGGGTCTCTCGGGGGCCTCTTGGGGCCTCCTGGGTGCCTCTTGGGGTCGAGAGCTCGGAATTTCTGGTAAGGTTTGCCCTGCGGGTCTCCTCTTGGGGCCGTCCTGGGGACACTTTGGGAGCTTCTTGGGCCTTCTTGGGGCGATCTCGGAGGCCTCTTGGGCTGTCTTGGAGCGTCGGGAAGCCGAAAAAGCGAGAACGCCCAAATCCATCAAACACCTGCGGGAAATCTATTATTTTTGCCTCCTGGGGGCCTCTGGGGAGTGTTTTTGGATGCCTTTTGGGCCGTCTGGGGGTCATCTTGGGCGTCCTGGAGCGATCTTGTCGTGTCCAGGAAGGCTCTAGGACCTCTCGGGGGCCTCTGGGCCGCTCTTGGGGCTCTTGGGAGGCCCTGAAGGCTGGGGACTTGCCCAGGGTATTTTTCTGCCGCGGACCCCCATGAGCCGCCCCCCGCGCGCGCGAACTAGAAATAGCGCCTACCAGTTACTGGAGGTGTGAAAGAGCGTTTTCTCCCGTTGCTGGTAGAAAACGGGAGGGGGGTCGCTGGGTTTCCAACCCGTCCCCCCCCCCTCTCGAAAACCGGGGGAGGCCACTGGGGGTTCCAACCTCCCCACCCACCCACCCCGGTGCATTATGAAAAGGGGGGGGTCACTACCGGTTCGAACCCCTCCCCCCCCCTGGAAAACCGGGGGGGGGTCACTGCCGGTTCGAACCTCCCCCCCCCCTCCCCCTCCCCCCCGCCCTCGCCGCACTCAAGTAACATTGGGGCCCGAGCTATTCAGCTGACGAGCTCCAGTCTCTGTGCCGCCACGGGGCACTTGAGGGACTAGGCTAAGCACAACCAGCCCCATCCATTTGTGCTTCAGCCTCGACTAAAGCAGAGACGAACCCTAGTTTTCGAGTTGCAGCCATGACCGGCGCGGGCAAGGCAGCCCCCCGCCGAGCATGGACAAAGTGTCAGAATTGCCAGCGCTGTGAGTACAACGACATCCTAGCCAGCAAGCACAATCTCTGCTGCCCTGGATGCCACCAGAAAGTTGGCTTGTACGAGAAGCCGAGTTCCTCGCGTCGGAAGGTCGTCCAGTTCGCGGACGAGGAGTGCGAGGAGCTGCAGCACCCACGTGGCATCCTACGCTCGCCGAGCCCTGGCCGCGGAGGCAAGGGCAGGCGCAAGGGTGTCGACAAGACCTCAGCCATCGCCGACGTGCTCAGGCAAGCACTGGAGTCCACTGCCGATCCTGTGCTCCAGGCCAACTTGAAGCAGCAGGTCGAGCGGCTCGAGGCGGAGGCGGCCGCCGCCAAGGGCACCACCCCTGTGGAAGCCCTGAGGCGGGCGGACGGCGCCTGGAAGGATGCTGATCACCGCCGTGGCCAGCAGGTGGCGCACGTGCTGAAGCTCCGCCAGCAGCTTGAGCTGGCCGAGGCCAAGGAGGCCAAGGGCGCCGTCGAGGTCGCGCAGGCGCTCAAGGCGCGGACGGCCGCGGCGCAGGCATTGGCGTGCGCCGAGGGCGTCACCACGCAGCGGGCCGACGCCAAGGGCGCATCCGAGACCAAGATTTTCGAGGTTTCCTACGACGAGAGTTTTTTCGCGAATATAGACACCATGGAGTGCGAGGAGCACGAGAAGGCAGTGCTACGCCAGCTTCGCACGAGTCTAGAGGCGACGGCGTCGGACCTAGAGAACAAGGAGGCCGAGGTCAAGGCGTGGCTGGCCCAGGCTCAGAAGCTGAGGTCTGAGATCGAGGATCGAGCTGCCAAGAAGAGGATGAACGCGGAGGGCCAGGGCGTTGCCGCAGGCGCGGGTGCCGAGCCGCCTGGGGAGAGCGCCGCGCGTGGAGCGCAGGGTGCCGAGGGCGCCACCGCCGCGCAGACGGCCTCCCCAGCGGGCACCGCCGAGGCCGCCGAGGCCGAGGCCGTGAAGGCCGAGGCTCAGAGGCTGTCAGAGGCGAAGTTCCAGGCCATGGCCAACCAGAAGGGCAAGAGCAACGGCAAGGGCGTCGGCGCCCCCCCCCAGCCGCAGTCGCAGCAGACCACAGAGGACAAGAAGCAGGGCGAGTGACTAGGTGCGGAACCTAGTCGCCAGTCGGCCCAGGAGCCGACAGAGGGAGGCCGCACGGCCAAGATATTCCACGGGAATGTCACCTGCATGGGGGAGAAGGCGTGGTCATGGCTGGTTGGGCAGCCACACGACTTCTTCAGTATCGTCGAGACTCACATTCATGATAAGCAGTCTCTCAAGAAGTACGACGGCAAAGCTCGGGGGAAAGGGCTTCGCCTCCACGTCAATCCAGCTAGGCGTACCCAGAGAGTCGTCACAGACGACCATGTCGAGTTTGCGAGCGAGGGAGGCGAGTGGTTCATGTCCAAGAGCCACCTCCAGGTCGCCAGGCTCGGCGCACCCAAGCTCGCGGCATCCAAGCTGCAGGCGCCCAACCACCCCTCCTCGCTCGACGGGTTCGTGGCGGTGACAGCGCACTTCTCAGGTTTCTCCATGGTCATCGTGTCCTTCTACGCGCACAACGGAGTGGGGGTGAGAGGCCTGGACGCTGGTAGGTACCAGCGTCTAGCAGGCCTCCTGTGGTCGCTCCAGCTGCCGTGGATAGTGCTCGGTGATTTCAACATCTCGCCTCAAAATTTTGTTCGATCAGGCATCCCTGACAGACTGCGCGGCACTGTGGTTGCCGCTGGCGACGCGGCAACTTGTAATCTTGGCACGGGCACGGTCATTGATTACGTTTTGTGCAGTAAATCAGCGGTCCCTTTCATCGCATCTGTCACGCCTGTCTTAGCTGTTCCCTGGAAGCCTCACATAGGCCTCGAGGTCACTCTTCGTAGTTCAGGTGAACAACTCATCACTCGGATCCTAGAGGTGCCAGGACGCTTGCCACAGGTCCCGTGTCCCACCTCTGAGCCAACTGTAGGT